TCGGGTTCGCGCCCGCGCTGCGCTGGGAGCGCGGTTCGGGAGCCCGGGAAGCCGATGGATGTGCCGGGGAGCGGCGCTCGGGGCGGAGCTGTCCCCCCCCGGTTCTCCATAGTGCCTACTGGGACGCACGCGTGTCCGCTGCCGGGGCTCGGGCTTACGGCGGAAAAAAAAGGAGTCGCTCGTCAAACACTGTCAATAAATAGGTTTGTGTGCCTGAAGAGCTTAAGGCGCTTTTTTAGAAGCGACGTTCCTTGTTCTGAAGGACCATTGCGTTTGTACAAGCACAAGACCAAAGCTCATGTACCTGTAGTGCTGGTTTAATCGCTTCTCTCCGGTACCAGGATAGAAACATCTCGGAGATCCCGAAGAAAAACTGCACGTGGCTCCTGGTAACACATGAGGCGTGTGTCAAAGGCGATGTGGTAAGAGGGCAACAGGGGGATACGGCTTTCGTGTTTATTTAATGCAGCGTTCCTAATGTCGTGGAAAACATGTCGTGTAAAATGCAAAGACGTTTTTAGGGGTTTTGTTCACGTCACTGAGATGAATTGACTCTGATTTCAAAAGAAACTTTTCTCTAGGTGTTCTACTTAATAAACTCGTAAGACCCGTTCTGAAGAGAATGCTTTTAAGCTTAATACCAAATTCCCTGCATAGTTGAAAATGCAGCTAATATGAAACGTGAATAATTTCTTACTGTCTGGACTCATGTAGTCTCCATGTCGCAACAGAGAGTCAGGAGTTTGTACTGCTTCTGCAGCAGAAGACTGTCCTTCAAAAAACCATTTCTGAAAAGCTGAGATACAGTCGGTTTTATTTTTTTCAAAGCCGTTTCCTTATTCAGAATAAGGGGAAATAATGCGTTTCTAAGCAAATGTTCTTCCTTTCCTGACAGATGACTGTTAGGATAACGATGCCGGCCGCGCTGGGCTGTGCGCTGCCCTCGGCAGACTGGGACTTACCCTCGAGCCGGTGACGCGACCGCAGCTGCGCAACGCTGCAGCGAGCGCGTTTGCAGTGGTGCCAGCACGGCTCTGCGGAGCGAGGGCTGCGTTCTGCGTTCCTGCAGACGTGCTGCCGTGGCCACTCCATTGTTTTCCGCTTCTTGCCACTTCAGCGGTTGCTCCTGCTTTTGAAAGAGAGGGAGTTTCATTTGCGTGAGCTTTTTTACAGGTCGCCAACAGGTACTTGCTGTCGTTTCAAGACAGCAGTTAGACTTTGTCTTGTTAGTTAGACTGACTTAGATGCAGTAGATGATAAAAAACCTTTACTGAAAATAGAAAATATTTTTTTCCACGAGTAAGCTTTCTGATGAACAGTATTATAAGACAGCCTTGGGGCAGTGCTAACGTGCACGGATGATTTCAGGCAGTATGACTTTCTTAACTAGTTGTGTTCTTGCTGAAAAGCCGCCTCTAGAGTCTCTGCTAAATTCCTGAGCCTTTTCAGAGAAACAGAAACCCGTGAAAACACCCTCACTGCTACCACACACACTGAGTGCAGCTGATAATGTGTTTTCTGTCACACTACTTGTCTCGGAGACAAGTCTGCCTGACTTGGCTTCCAGCCACAGCGGATGCCGAGCGTTTCGCTGAAGCAGGACGCTGTATTGTTGCTGGGATAGCTGGAGCAGAGTTCTCAAAACGCGGGCAGACATCTGAAGAGGGATCAGGGAAACGTGCCTGGAAAGGGACCCCACGCGCCGCAGCAGGTCCCAGCCCGTGTTACACACCGTCAACGCCGACTGCTGCGTGTGTTGCGGCTGGCATCGGCGCAGACCGCGCGAGGCGGGGGCCGCAGGGCTCCACACCACCAACCTCGTGCCGTGCTGCGCAGAGAGCCGGGCTTTGGATAAGGAAGCTGTTGGGCCGTGCCAGCACGCTCCCAGGCAGGGTGAGCCTGCCTCCCGGAGCGCCGCGGCAGCACCACGCGTTTCCAGGCACTTCCCGAGCCACCGCTGGGTGAGTTGGCGTAGGTATTTCTGTAGGACGCTGCGTTCTGCAGTGTCGGGCGCTTCTGTTTCTCAGCAGCTTTAGCATGGCTGTGGTGACCTGGGCATTTTTTTAAATCTGGTGCACAAATGACAAACTTAGCCGTTCAGAAAGACATGCTTTCAACTTAAAATAAGAACCCGTGTGGAGGAGATGCTGCGTAAATACATTTAAATACTTTTCAGCCTTTGAAGGAAAGGAGAGAGCGTTACTTCAGCAGTTTTCTTTTATGCCATCGTGTCTTAGAAAAGCATATGAATTTGATTATTTC